TTCTTAGAGAAAAGTGTGTGAAGATTGTTTTATCACCCTGAAGCCATTAAGCTCTTGTATAGAGTATGAGATGTCATGCGGTTCCAGGAATTCTAAGATTTTAAATAGGGTAATACAGCTAGAATTAAATTTTTAACTGGATGGTGACTTTGGGGTCTGGAGACACCTCTGTGGCGTGTTGTTCTCTTTCTCTTCAAAGGCTTATTTGTGAGTTTCTGGTTCATGGCTGTTAACAAGCTTAATAGTGCCAGAGGTAGTTCGTGGGCATGACTGTCAGGCTAACAGAAAAACACGGAGATGGGGGGAGGTCACCCATTCCCAACTCCATGCAAACCTGGAGTCACAAGTCCTGCATGTGATTTTTGTCAGCAGATTCCTTTATGGATGAGGCTCGTCTGAGCCTGTGGAGATCGGCTGTGAACATGGTGGCAACTGAGTTCTTGGAGGTTTTTGGTTGCTGGGGCTCTGTTGGGGCGGGGGGCAGGATTCACCCGCCCCACCACCTACGCCCACGAGTTGACCAAGACAAGACAGCCGGCACTGGATCCGGTGGCATCTCTATGGCTGTTGCTCTCTTCTTCTTCAGAGGTTTATTTCTTCTGAGTTCTTTTATAGGCTAAATACATTATTTATTTTGGAACAGGGGTCACACCTAGCAATGCTCACTATGCACATCTCAAGGTACCAAGGATTGAACCCAGGTGGGTAGCCTACTAGGCCAGCACCCGACCTGCTATCTCTCTGGTTCTGAAATGTAATCATGTTATTTTCACATACAAAAATTTTAGTTCAAATTTCCATCTCCTCCAAATCTATCCATGGCATTGTACATGTTGGACATAACTCCCGAAAGGCACAGTTTTCTAGATTATGTTTCTTTTTTCTAATGTTTCATTTCTATGTTTTTTATTGTATTAAGATTTATTATTATACTTATTATTGCACTGATTTTTTAATACTCAATTTTTTTTTAATTCAGTCACTTTGAGATAGAACACTATAAAGCTCTTCATGATTGGGTTTCAGTAAATGTTCCAACACCCATCCCTCCACCAGGGTAATTTCCCAGCACCAATGTCCCCAGTTTCTTTCCCACTCTCCCAACCTCCCAAATCACCCTCCACCCCAGCCTTGCCTGCCTCTAAACTTTACAATAGCCAGAATCTGGAAAAAACCTGAGTGCCCGAGAACAGATGACTGGTTAAAGAAACTTTGGTACATTTACAAAATGGAGTACTATGTAGCTGTTAGAAAAGATGAAGTTATGAAATTTACATACAAGTGGTACTACATGGAAAGTATCATGTTAAGCGAAATGAGTCAGAAAGAGCGGGATAGACACAGAAAGATTGCATTCATCTGGGGAACATAAAGCAACAAAACGGGAGACTAACACCCAGGAATGGCTGAGATTAGTACCAGGAATTTTGCTCAGTGAATGGAAGGCCAGCCACATGTGCTAAGTGAAAAGGAAGCTCAGATAGAGAAGAGAGCACCAAATAAAGGGTGTTGTGAGGACCCTCCCAGGGTGGGAGAAGCATGCTAAAAGTAGTCTATAGACCAAACATGATTGCCACTCAGAGCCTCTCTTGCAAAACACAGTACCCAAAAGAAGAGAGAGAGAACAAGGGGGAATGCCCTGCCACAGAGGCAGGGTGGGATGGGGGGGATGGGGGGTGGGAGGGATGCTGGGACCCGTGGTAGTGGAGGATGGGCACTGGTGGAGGGATGGGTACTTGATCATTGTATAACTGAAACCCAAGCACAAAAATTTATAAGTCTATAACTGTACCTCATGGTGTTTCACTAAAATAAATAAATAAATAAAAATTTAAAAAATAAAGTAGGCACCTCTAAGGGGGGCGGTACCAGCTCGTCCCTCATGCCCTACCGAGGTCACGAGTTGCCCCCCGCAAGCGGCTCTCCAGCACAGCCATAACACCAGACGCACAGAAACCAATCTTGTAATTATCTGGCTCTTTGCAGAAATCCAAAATCACGAGGCCACTATTGCGGCCACGTGAGATTATATGATTCTCATAACCAGCTATAGAAAACTAAGTATTTCACAATGCCTTTTCAGCAATTCTGATTGCTGGGGGGGGTGGGGAGGGGGGAATTCTAAACAATAATGGTGCATCTTTTGTCAAAACAATGAATGTAATCAATGTAGAGAAGAGTTAAGTGGAAATTATCTGCCTCACAGGCGTTGGGAGGGGTGGGAGGAGGGTATATTGGGGTTCTTGGTGGTGAAAAATGAGTAGTGATGAAGGGAGAGGTGTTTGATCAATGTATGACTGAGACTTAAACCTGAAAGCTTAGTAACTTTTCCCACAGTGATTCAATAAATAAATATAAGAAGAAAAAAATAAAATTATGGGAAAAAAAGGTAAAATCATGCCCAATTCAATCAGCTAATCAGTGGCTGAATAAATAGCAGTACTCCTACATAAAAAATAAATAAAGTAGGCACCTCTTCTCTCTCTTTCATCTCTCTCATTTTAGGCATAATGAGTTTGTAATACAGATGCTGAAAGGTTATCATACATATCCCTTTACCTACTTTCAACACTCATTTCTTGTCCAGAGTGATCATCTGCAACTAATGTTGTCATAATGGACACTCCTCTATCTTGACTACCCTCCCCCACCTCACACCCTTGTGGTAATTTCCAACCACTGACCAGTCCTCCTGGCCCATTTTCCCTGGCCTTGGATATTAGTTTCATTTTTCCTAACAGCTGTGTAGTACTCCTTTGTGTAGATGTACCATAGTTTCCTTTATCCAGTCATCTGTTCTATGATCACTTGATCACTTGACATCCCATTACTCATCAATTTGCTTGAATGGGCGCCAGTAACACCTCCATTCGTCCCTGTAGCATGCTAGTGTAGCCCAATGGTGTCTACTCATTCTAGGAACATGAAGAGCCTCAAACCGATCGATCATTCAGGGTCTTGACGAAGAAGTCTGACCATCTCATAGGTGGGTGGCCATGCAATCTTTTGGTATCCCGTGGAATCCAGTTGGTAAGGGCTCTAGTCCAGTCTCCAAATCTCATTACGTGTCCAGTCCATTTGATTTTCAACGCCTTGGCAAACGAGACAGCAACCCTGATTCTTGACCGTCAATGGAGGTCGGAACTCTGGATTCTTTATCTCATTTGAGTGAAGCATTATACTCCAGGCATAGCTCTTTCAATTCCTCCTTGGGAGAACTGAATAGCGTTCTCATTCTGTTTTCATAGGGCCCAGATCTCTGAGGTGTACGTTAATGCAGGAAGAACAGTGGAGTCAAAGAGATGTGCCCGGAGCTGGAGGTTCTTCATCCTCTTAGCTATTTGACGGTCTTGAAGGCACTCCAAGCTGCTCTCTTCCTCCTGCGCAACTCAGGTGCCAGGTCATTCATTATGTTGACTTCTCGACCTAGGTACACATAACTGTTGCGTGCAGAGATGTTCATTCCACTGAGAGCAAATGCAAAATCAGGAACGAGACCGTTTCTCATAAACATTGTCTTTGTGAGACAAGGATAAGGAAGGATGGGGAAGGAGAGGCTGTTCTATGAACCTTCCTCAAAAAACTCGGGACTGGAGCAATAGCACAGCGGGTAGGGCGTTTGCCTTGCACGTAGCCAACATTGCGACCCAGGTTCGATTCCCAGCATCCCATATGGTTCCCCGAGCACCGCCAGGAGTAATTCCTGAGTGTATGAGCCAGGAGTAACCCCTGAGCATTGCTGGGTGTGACCCAAAAAGCAAAAAAAAAAAAAAAAAAAAAAACAACAAAACCTAGAAACTGAGCTCCCATTTGACTCAGTAATGTTTCATTTCTTGATTGGATAAGAGTAGTACTGTAGCACTGTCTTCCCGTTGTTCATCAATTTGCTCAAGCGGGCATCAGTAGTGTCTTATTGTGAGACTTGTTACTGTTTTTGGCATATCAAATACACAACGGGGAGCTTGCCAGGCTCTGCCATGTGGGCAGGATACTCTCGGTATGTTGCCAGGCTCTCCGAGAGGGACAGAAGAATTGAACCCAGGTCCGCCATGTGCAAGGCAAATGCCCTACCCGCTGTGCTATCGCTAAGTCTTGCATTTCATGCTTGACTACCAAATTTCTTTAAGTTCCGTAAAACTTAATACTGATAAATAAGGGCTCAGAAAGTCATTCCCGGGTCGGAGATATAATACGGTGGATAAGGTGCTTGCACTGCATTGGGCCAACCAAGGCTTGATCCCTAGCATCCCATATAGTCCCCCAAGCACCCCAAGTACTGATTCCAGAGTGCAGAGCCAGGAATAACCCCTGAGCATCAGCAGGTATGGCCCCAAAACAAAACAAACAAGAAAGCCTTTCCCCTCTTTTTCCAGTAAAGCTTAATTACAGACTAGTCAAAATTTTATATAATCACCATTTAAGTACTGTCCCAATAATTAATATATGTTAAAAAAAAGTAGTCATGTTAGAAATATTGATCTGAAAATAAAAATTAATCAAGTATACAATATTTGGATGAAGGTTATTCTGAAAAAACTAAACTCCAAATCAAGTAAGTTCAAAATAAATGGTGAATGTTAAAACAGAAAGATGTTTCTCATAGTCATTTTATCAAATTCTCATTATTATGCAAGAAAGAAAATGCAAAAGAAGAAAATGTTGCTAGAGTTAGATCTGGCATTATTCCCAAGGCACTTTACCTGCCAAGATTAAGAACTTGGGAAAAATAACAGCATATGCCCAAATTCATTACAAATAAGCAAACATCTCTACATATTTAGAATGAGAGCATTTTTAGTAGGAACTAGAAGTAGAAACAGCCTTCAGATTCAGCCTGAATTAAATTTTCTAAGGGTAAAGAACCAAACACATCATCCTATTTCTACCTTAATATCTATAAATCAATTATTACATAGAACCCAACATATGCTATGTAGCATATGTAAAATACAAGGATGGCTTTCCAAACGAAGATACGCTTTTCAGCATTTACCACTTACCTATAGTAACGGGACTGTAAGTAGGTTGAGCACACAGCTTTGGAAACGTGACTGGCAGAACCAAAGTCAATGACCTTCACTCTGTAGGGCTGGCGCACAGGATCAACCAACATGATATTTTCAGGTTTAAGGTCAGCGTGAATTAGACCAAGACTCTTGAGCTTCATCAGGGCAGTGGCCACCTGCTGCAAGATTGGTCTAATGTATTTGAGTGGCAGTGGACTGAACTTGTTCTGCTTTAGAAAGTCATATAAGTTCTGCTCCAGCATCTCGAACACAAGGCAGGTGTGATTCTTATGCTGAAAGCACTCGTAAGAACGCACAAAATTATACTCATCAGCATTTTCACTGCTTAAGCGGGAAAGGATGCTCACTTCAATCTGTCCTTGTCTGGCATAGGAGGGATGGTTCTTCAAGATTTTAATCGCCACAATTTCCTTGGTACTCCGCTTCCAGCACTTAGCCACTTGTCCAAAAGTCCCCCTACCTAGAAACTCCAAGACTTCATAGCTGTTGGTCATAGAACAAAGGATCTCGTGCTGGACCAGCTGGTAATCCCCTTCTCCGCTGGAACTGCTACTTTTCGTTGTCACAGTGGTGGTTGTGGCAGCAGCACCCACCACAGTCCTGTTTTGCAGCATGAGAGGGGGATGTTCTTCTATGATCTGCACGCTACCGTTGCTGTCAACTTCCTCACTTTTTCTTTTCAGTCCACATTTTTGATACGGCTCAAGTAAAGAAACGTTGCTTCTGTGAGTCAGGGTCTGGCTGCTCTGAAAGGTCGAAGTAGCAGCACTGGCGGAGCTGTCGGCGGCTGTCACAACAATGTGCTCCACTGCAGGAGCTGGGAGGAGGAGACCCTGGTCGTAACCAGGAAGGTTGAAATTTGCTACCTGGTGAGAGGAGTTAGCTTGTCCTTGTGTGGCTGGGAGGGTTTTGCTGTGGGTATAATATTTGTCGTTGCTGCTCTGTCCTGAAACATCCCAGCCAGAGGGTTCTATTTTCAATTTCTTTGCACTGCAGAAGGCACTCGACGACACTGATGGGGGGGAAAACACCTGCAGCTGTGATGCCATACCTACAATGAGAGAAAAGAAAAATCAGACCCTCAATTGAGAAGAAACTCTTAGCTTGCAGAGCTAGGAATAAACTCTGAGCATCACTGGATGTGACCCAAAAAAGGGGGAGGGGAAAGACAGAGAGAGAGAGACAGAGAGAAAGAGAGAGAGACACAGAGAGAGAGAGAGAGAGAGAGAGAGAGAGAATGAACATGATGCCAGAGAGTTGAACAGACTGAGTATGGTCCCAAAGCAACACCAGAAAGGCACCCCAAGCACTGAGCTTGGAACAGACCCTGAGCAACACAGGATGTGGTCTCAAAACAAAAACAATCGGAATGACCATCTAAAATGGTTCCAAAAACAGTAACAACACCAAGAATAGCCTGGATGACTGATCATTTACAATATGGAAATAAGAGTCTAAGCACTTCATCTGCATTATTCATTTAATCCTCACTACAGTCCTCTGGAAAACATACTACCATTATTTACATTTTACAGATGAAGGAACTGAAGCACAGAGAGGTTAGAGTAATTTGCCCAAAATAATGTAACGATTAAGTGGCATCACTGGAATTCAAATCCAGGCTCTTTGGCACCAGAACTCAATTCTACAGCTGTCTTCATTCCTGCCCTGATTAACTTTTTAATTATTTAAATTATGTAATTTTAGGCACAGAAAACCTAGAAGAGTAGCTCAGGGGCTTGGAGCGTCTGCCTGAGGTGTAGGAGCCTGGCTGCTCTGTTGTCTGTGATCACCAGCACACACAAACACTTCCCAGCCCCACTACAGCCAGGCATGTGCGCACCTTCACAAAGGGGTGTGTGCTCTGGTAGTTAAAAAGATGTACAGGTGTCACAATCACAAAGTTTAACCAGGGGCTGAAAAAACAGTACAGCAGGTAAGGCATTTGTCTTGCAAGCGGACAGCCCAGCTTGAATACCAAACACTCCAGATGGTCCCACAAGCCCCACAGGAATGATTCCTGAGTGCAGAACCAGTAATAACCCTGAGCATGGCTGGATGTGACCCAAAATTCAAAAAAGAAAGTATAATCTCTGGTGAGCACATGCGCAAGTACAACGAAAGGAGTGCAAAACCCAGAGAGAAACGTGATACAGAGTATGCAAGCACACAGCCCAATGTGTGACCACCACCTCACACCCCCCTCCCCCCCACACACACACAAGCACCACAGCATTAAAAAAAATATGTATACTCAAGAACAACAGTTCGGTGTATGTGCAATCCCAAGTTATAGCATATCAATCACCATGAAAAGAAACAGGAAGAAGACTAAAATAAGTAAATTAATAAAAGGGGGACCTCCTAAGCAATATTCAGGGACCCAAAGACCCCATCTCAGCCATTCTAGTCAACCCTGTTGGTAGTTCAATACCAGGACCTGAGGAAGCAATACTACCTGTGCCTGACAGAGATTATCTGGGCCACTTCAGCAGGGCTGCAAGTCTCCAGGATCATACCCAGCAGTGAGGGGGGAGAAGTGGGTGGTCCAACCTGTTACCAGGGCTACACCAGGTAACAACCGGAGGGCCATGTGGCTCCATGGATAGAACCAGTGTTGGCTACATGTAAGGCATGTACCTTTACCCCTGTATTATCTCTCCAGCCTTAATAATTTTTAAATTAAAAAAAATTGTAAGAGAGATAGCTCGGCAAGTTGAGCACATTCTTTCATGCAGGAGGGCTGAGCTGAACCCAGGACACAGTCCCCGATCACCCCAAGTACCCAACAATCTCAGAGCAAACAGATGTCCTCCAGGTATGTAGAAGTCAGCAAGTAGTATCAGGTATGTCCCTAAAATCTAATTTAGACATAGATGGAATACTGATAAAACTGACAAATGATCCAAATGTGGGCATGATATTCAATATCATAAAGTAACGTCCAAAAAGACAATGAACAGAAATAAGATGACAAATATAATAGACAGTGTCAGAAGATGATGGAGAGGTTGAGGTGCTTGTCTTGTACAGCCGACCGCAGCACTGAATATGTGCCTGAAGCACCGCCAGGAGTGACCGCTAGCCACACAGCCAGGAGTGAGCCCTGAGCACCACCTGGTGTGCGACAAAATAATAATAGTAACAAAAATAAAGACTCCTGCTTAGATACAAAATATGAAAAGCACAAAGCACACATAAATTAGTATCTACTTTTTATCCACTACATTATAAAAGGACTGTCAATAAACTGACCAAAAAAACTAATCAAGATGCAAAGCCTGGAAAAGATCTGGCTAATTAACCTTAGAAAAAATAAAGGGAAAACAAGTGAGTAGGGCCCAAGGTTCTGTCACTGAATGTCCCACCAACACCTCAATAAACCCAGAGTTATTACCTTCAGAATAAAGATCACTATGTCACAGCAAGTCACTTCATAGTTGTCTTCTCCCCTGTCAAACCATAAAAACGTCAGATGCCCTGGGCTCTATGCCATCTTTTCATATTTTAGTCTATAAGTAAACTTCCCAGAACTAGACAATTGAAGAGTCCTTCATTCATTCATTCATTCATCATCCTGTTATTCGTCGATTGCCTCGAGCAGGCCCCAGTAACGTCTCTTTCATCCTAGCCCTGAGATTATATTCACGGCTCTTTAGGAGAATGAGACCCATCATTGTTACTGGTATTTGGCATATTTGGTACGCCACGGGGAGTTTGCCAGACTCTGCCCTGTGGGCAGGCTACATTCGATAGCCTGCAAGTTTGTCCAAAGTAGAAATGAGATAAGGTGTCATAAAAAGATGTCCTGATAAGATGTCGCGGCCCGCCGTGCGGTTCCGGGAGCTGGATTTTATAGTCTCTGAGTCTTGGCCGCTGATGGGATTACACGGCGCCAAGAGTCCTTAATCTTTCTAATCCACTCTTCTCTCTCTTGAATTTTAAGTCTTTCTATCCATACTGCAACTTAGTTTGAAATCTTACAAACACTCAAATTCAGCACATGCAAAAAGAAAGGCAGCAGTCTCCAGCCCTTCTCGGTTCTGAAATGTAGCCATATGCCCAACACCTCCCGTCAAAATTCAGGTGAATAAGGCAGTTTCCTCATCTATAAAACTTCAGGTATTAATACCTACATTTCATCTCATGGGATTGTTTTAAAAACAAAATGACTAAGTACACGTTAAGTGCTTTGTGCCTGAAAATTACTGATTTTTGGTATTTCCATGACCACCAGAACTATAGCCAGTCAAGGTCATGCGGTGCTGAGTGTTGGACCTGGGGTTCTGTGTGCACCGTTATGCTCTGATCAATCATTTAAATTCCTGGCCCTTATTGTTATTACTGTCATAACCTATTTCTCTCCCTTGTTCCCCCGTATCTAATACCTCCTAAGCTTAAGTCAAAGCACTCACAGTCTCTAATCTTGAGTGCACTCAGAGATCTTTACTTTGAATTTTTCTTTATTATTAAGTATTAACCTATTATTTTCCTTTACTTGCCTCATCCCCTTTTCTTTCTTCTTTTTTTTTTTTTTTTTTTTTTTGGCTTTCAGGGTTACACCAGGCGATGCCCAGGGATGACTCCTGGCTCTACACTAGGGAATCACTCCTGGCAGGGCTGGGGCATCATATGGGATGCTGGGGATCAAACCTGGGTCAGCCAGGTGCAAGGCAAACAAACGCCCTACCTGCTGTACTATTGCTTCGGCTCCCAAGAGATCTTTACTTTCAAACTACACAAATCAGAAGTCTTGGGCCAGAAATTAAGGCACAGTGGGGAGGTAGCTTGCCCCACACACATCTGACCCAGGTTTAATCCTCAGTAACCCAGATGGTCCCCCGAGTCCTGCCGGGAGTGATACCTAACCGAGAACAGGAGAAAGCATGAACACAGCTGGGTGTAGGCACCCACACACACAAAAAAATATCTAAGTCTTCTCCCTACCCACTCCATTCCTCCCTCCTCCCCTTCTCTGCTCCCCCCCCCCCATACACACACACTTTGGGTTCAAGGTTACTTCCTCTTTTTTAATCACCTCTCTAGTCCAGCACACCCTGACCACATAGTTTTTCAGCACTATGGGGAGAGAGTCCAAAATCTTCAACAGACTCAAAAAGTTCTCCCAAAATCTGATTGCTGCCTTCCCAAATCTCCTCAATCTGATTCCTCAACTCCAATGATACTGCTTTTGTCAGTTCTTGGACAGCTACTCCATCACTTTTACCTCCACGTCCTAACATGCTGAAGATTTTCTGCTAGAAAACTCATCCATTACAGAAAATACACAAACTCCCTCCTCTCCACACAATCATTACCATCAAAACTGTCTCCCCTCACTGTGAACTCCCCACAGCACCCTGACCTTCTCTCATAACTTGAACTGATTTCAAACTGCATTCCAAACTACAGTTATCCTACCTGTCCTGTTCTTAGCGTGAGTCACCAGGGTATACCAGACAACATCACGGTAAAAACACTCTAATTGCAGGATGAGCTGACCTGCCTGCCAACCTCGTATCTACCACGTATCTACCCACCACCATTCTATATATACAAGATTTTCGGTCAGGCTTTATTTTTCCAGTGTTTTTTCCTTTCATCTGTGTGGTCCTAAATATGTGGGATCACCAGTCCAATACACACAGTGTTAATTCTATTTGTCACAAGAGAATAAACAACACACAACTAGAAAGGAAGGAAGCATGACAAAGGATGTTACAAAACATGAAAAACAATGTGTACATTTCTTTGGGCCTGAAAGCAACTAAAAACAATCTGCACTGAACTAGTCAGCTGTAAAGAACAAACCCTCAGCCTTTAATTTCTAAAATGAGGTCTGGATATACTTTAAGCAAGAGTTCCTGTAATTTATATGAGCCTTGAGGAGAAAAAGTGTAAATTAAAAGCTAAAGTCAGTGCAATTTAATTCTGAGGCTTCTAATTTACAAATCGTTTTGTTCTACCTGTATCACTGACAAAAAACCAAATAAGTAAAATAGTAAAAGAAAACTGAATAGTAAAAGAACTAGTAAAAGAAAGACTAATGTC